GTGTGTGTGTGTGTGTGTCACTATACTTGTGGGGACCAACTGTCACTTATGGGGACCAAATGCCCATCCCCATGAGTTTGAAGGCATTTTTGAGGCTCAAAATGTGGTTTTAGTGTCAGGGTTACAATTAGGTTATGGTTAGGTTTAGAGGGTTAGAGTTAGGCATTCATTTTTCATGGTTAGGGTTAGGGTAAGATGCCAGGAAAAGCATTATGTCAATTAAATGTCCCCACTAAGATATGAAAATGAGTGTGAGTTGTGTGTTAACTACAGTTGGCAGTTCCTCATTTTCATCTACACGCCTTGAATTCTTAAGCTATGACTTGATCAGAGCATTTCATCGGGGAAAAAAAGACTGCAGAAAAGCTGGTGATAGCTCAGCACTTAAAAATGTATGGTAGAAGAAATGACATCGAAAGATGTTCAAAGAGAGGGAAATGGTTCTACAGCTGCACTTTGTCACCATTGTTGGGAATGCGGTGTAACCAGGGTCCAAATCAATGTAGTAACCAAAGCACACAAAACTTGCCAGTTGTGGATATGTTCAATCAGTATTTGACCTTTATCATTGTGGCCCTACTGGTTTGTTTAGAAGCTGGCACAAAGCAAAGCACACGCCTGTTTTCTGACTTGGCCTAAGGCGGTTCCGTATTTCCACACGTTCAGTGTTAAGTCGCCGTGATTTTATCCTTAAGTCTGAGGGCTGTGTCAAAATAAGATAACCGCTCCATCATCTCCAGAGATGATGATGCGGTGAAAAAAGTCATCTGGTATCCGTTATGCTGTCTTAATTCTAAAATGATTACAAATCGTTCCATGCAAAGCTCGAAAATCGAACCCAAGAAATGTCTGAGAGAAAACACGACTTTTCATAAGAATGCCGTGCCAAATAGAGAAAAAAAAATGACTGAGGGTTAAGTAAGAGCGTGTCAGAATTGTGCACAAGCTGAAGTGTGTCCATTTGCATCCCTGTAGATGTCAACAAGCCATCCAAATGCACTTTGACAGGAAAAGAAAAGTAGAATGCATGCAGAGTGGCACTCAGAAATGGCCCCCTGGTTGGTTTGCCTTTTAGTAAGAGTGGTAAGCTTTTCTTTCTGTCCTTTGTCAGGGTTGCAGTGGCTAAAAGACGTTTCAGCGCTGATTTATCGACACTGCAGATCAAATTTTATCACAACACTTGCTTGAGATTTTTCAGTTCCATAAATCAGTTAAATCATCAGACTATTTCTGGGAGCTCATTAATAATGGAGAAAAACCCCAAGATTCAGACATTACCAACTAAATCGAGCTGCACGCAACCGTTCATTTTTCAGTCTGCTTGGCTCCATTCTAATGAATTTTACTGACAATTAGGAAGAAACAAAGCCTTCACCGTGGGTGACGAGCATATCCACGCCGTATTCTGTGTCATCCCAATTTTTCCACTTAATAGTGCCCATAATAAGTGCTTATTAGAGGTTTATATTCAGAGACAAAGCCCTTATCTGCAATTACATCCTGCTGTTGAGTAAAGTGGGAAGTTAGTCAGAGTAGAGATCCTCTTGACACTGAGTTGTGACCCTCCTGCAACCTCTGCCTCAGGATATGACTCTTCAGAGTCTCAGCTGACAAACTAACGCCTTCAGCATCTAAATTAGCTGTCTGACAGACTCTGACACCTGACACGAGTCTGACACCTTTACCAGGATATCTGCAATGGGCCGTTTCCTCTCGACCTGCATGCAGAAAGCATTTCATCTCAGACTTTCCTCACCTAAGCAAAAGCAAGCAGTCACACTGAGCATTCTGAGTGATGTTGCTGGACTTAAAAAGAAGTCCTAAGATCATCTTATATCCCCACAATGATATTAGTTTGTCTTTATCTTTAACTTTGTCTGAAGAACTTGATTTGGTTTATGCTCATGTACTGCAATTTGCTGTTTCCATCCACAGCAGTCTGTCTATCCAGATATTTATTTCCTGAATGGATGTGTCGATGTTAATCTAAACATTTAGGTGATGTGGAAGTTGTGATGCAGACTGCAGATTGCTTCACTGTGGGGCTGTGGGCTAGTCCTACAAGTCCAGCAAACCCTGTAGCGTGCATGCAATCATTGCTTATCTAGTAGAGTGCACACAGCTGACAATTGCATTGCGTTTTTTTAAATATATTTTATATTTTGCCCGCAGCCCTGGATAGCAACTGTTATTCCTATACCGTAAAGGCGTCTGTGCAGTCTGTCAGAAATGCTCACCGAATGCTCAGATGCCTTAGGAAACCCCCTTTTTCCACACCTGTCTGACTTTCTGAAACTACCAATTTGACATTCACCACCTTCACTGGCTATTGGCCAACTGTGCAGGGGTTGGAAAGCAGCCAGAGTCTGAAGTGGTCTTCTTTTTGTTTTTGAACAAATTTACAGCATTTCTGTCTCTTTTCACATGGAGTGAAACATTATAAATATCTTCCAGGAGACAGTGGCAGAAAATGTTGTCTATTAAAACTCCAATAGCACGAGTCTAGCAAAAACAAAAACCTGCAGAGCCCAGACGAGATTTTGGGTCCCATCCCGGACCACTTGAGTAACAATATGCTGAAATGTTACCGTGGATTATTTGTTCAGTGACGCCAAACACGTGTTGCTCATTGCTACGGTAACTCCTGAGTGACAGCTGGCTTACAGTACGAAATAACACTATCAAACACAACCTCACCTTATCACCTGGCTCCAAACTGCTTAGCTGAAATATACATTTCCAGAATTATGTGCCACAGAAGCACAGCAGCACTACAAGACCTAAACATGTGAATAAAGTAACATATACGTGCTCTTGGAAAACTCCCACTGCACGTGCCTGTGGTGCTTCCCACTCTCGTTTTCGTGTTATGGAAGATGGACACTGTGGATTTAGAAAACATTTCTCAAACAATAGTAAATAGTGAATATATTTTGAACATATTGACATGACGGCATCACAGAGTTTCTGGAGATTTTGAAGCTGCTTATTCACAATGTGAATCTCCCATTTCAAATCTGGCCTGGTGACGATAGAGGCCATTGAAGTAAGTTGTCATGTTCAAGAAAACACATTAAGGTGATCAGAGCTTTGCGTCATGGAGCGTTATCCTGCTGGAAGATGGTGCACTGTGGTCATAAAGGGATGAACATGGTCAGCAACAATGTTTTCAGACCAAGTGCCGTTCCAACCTTTTGTTGTCCAGTTTTGTTAAGGCTGTGTGAACCGGAGCCTCAGATTCTTGGTCTTAGCTGACAGGAGTGGGAGCCGGTGTGGTCTTCTGCTGCTGTGGCCCATCTGCGTCAAGGTTAGACTTGTTGCGCATTCAGAAATGCTCTTCTGCATACTTTGGTTATAGTGTGTGGTTATTTGAGTAACTGTTGGCTTCGTATGAGCTGACCTCTGGCATCAACAAGGCATTTTCACCCAGAGAACTGCTGCTCACTTAATATTTTCTCTTTTACAAGCCATTCTAAGCATTTGTGTGGGAAAATCCCAGTAGAGCAGCACTTTCTGAAACTCTCAGACTAGTCTGTCTGGCACCAACAATGAGTCCAAGTTTAAAGTCACTTGTGTACAACAGTAGAGCTCTGTGGCACAAATGAATAGAAATCCGCAGCCTCAGTGATACTGCTCATTTGAAGGAGAACTTCATTGCTGATTTTGCTGATAGTAAGAAGATCATTAGGTGATTATTACCATTGAAAAAAACCCAAAGCTTTTAATTTGGCTAATCAAGTAATCAAATCATGACACACACTCACATATTGTGTTTTCCAATCCTGCCTTGATGCAGTCAAAAACCTCCTGGATTTCCATTAACATTAAAAAGCATCGGCACCCACACAAAAGTTGGGATTTAGAATTGAAGCCCCATTGAATGGGTGGCGTTTGCAGATTTATACACTAGAGGACGCAGCAAGCCAGCAGCTGTTCACCACATAGGCGGCAAAAGGGGAGTTGGCACATTGTTCTCTCAGGGTTGCAGCAATAAATTGCACCAAACCTACAATACTTAAAATTTCCAAGAGATGGCAATAGAGGATCGTGGTGGATCGCACTTCCATCAGGCACAGGAGTAATTACACACACAGATTGAAAACGACAGGGCCCCCATCACCGCTCAACTTCTCAGAATTCAAATGACTTCATGAATGACTTAACGAGGAGCAGGACACGTAGATCATCTTGCGGTTTGTATATTTATTTTAAAGCAACTTCGTTTGTAAAATATAAATACAAATTATGAGATATTTTAATTACAAAGTTAGAACAAAAAGAACAAACAAACCCAAAACAAAACAAAACTGGACACACCAAAAATTACCTTACTGCAGTAGCCTCCTTGTTATGTACAAGCTGTGCCAAGGGGTGAATATCAACATTATCTTAAAACTTTATTATACAATTTTGTAGTTTGCATGTTAAATTACAGACTAAACAGGAAGCAACATTTGAACATCCAGAAAAAAAACCCAAAAAACAACAACAACAGAAAAGCCCCTGAGGCTCAAGCGAGCACTAAAGTCTGAGGAGGGGATGGCTGGGGGGAGAAAAACAGGACATCATGTGCTTCCTATAAACACAAATACCACATTCAATAGCACAGCCTCGGTACTATTCTGTACAACTACACACATGCGCAATGTGCCGCGCGCTCACGCACGCCATCCAGTTGCTGACAACACGCTTACGCTCTGTTGCCATACAAAATCTTTCAGAGGGGCGTGTGAGCAAAAAAAAAAAAAAACTCTTGATATTATATATTTATTTATATATATATATATCTATATATTTATTTATACATATATTAATTTATAAAAATAAGACCATTATTAAGTCTATTGAGTCACAAATATATTGATCCTCAGTTAACAGAGGGAAATGTTTCAGCAGCCCATCAGCCAGTAGGTCAGTCCATCTGTACAGTGCACCAGTGCTGGTCCAGAGTCGGGCCGAAGCGCAGGAACTAAAGGTCAGGCTAAGGCATATCGTCATAACCCCTGCTCGGTTCTAAAGCAAACTGCAGTCGATAATGATCAAGGTTCAGTGGGTCAAAGGGTCAGGATGAGCCCAACTTTTCCACAGCCTTGATTTTGTCCTTGAGTTTGTCACCGGGGTGATCCCAGCGGTCGTCCAGAAACTCCAGCGTGGAGCCCAGCAGGGCTGCGAGCTCTGCGCTGTCTTCCACCAGGTCCAGCAGCTCCTTGCTGTCGGGATGGAAGCCCTCCAGCTCTTCTGGGCAGGAGAAGAGCTGGGACAGAGATGCTTGCCGGTAAAACTCCGCCTCCGCTACCGTCACCACCTCCATGTGAGGGAAGGCCTGCCGGAAACCGCGAGCGGACATCCGCAGCCGACGGAGCACATCAGAGAATAGCAGCCAGTTTTTTGGCCTGAAAGAGAATAATTAACAGACGTTTAGGAATTTAGGAAAAAACAGAGTTGAAAATGTAATCTGCTTTTGAGAATAATGCTCACCCCTGGGAGAGGGACACCTGGATGTTGTAGCAAGGCAAAAGAGGTCGGTCGGAGAACTCGAACTCAAACACCTCCCTTTTATCATCCTCATCTTCATCATCTGGACCTGGGGCGTCTGCTAAAATGTCATAGACACCGCCCTCTTCAGTAGACTCTGGACACAGAAAAAAGGAAAAGCACGGATCGTTTTTTAGTGAGCGTCAACATTACCATAAAGCTGCCTTGCCTAAAAGGGGCCAGTGCGACGTACAGACACTGATGATGTTTAAAAATAAAGACTTTGTAAGCACTAAAGGACACACGCAGAGTGCTGATCAGTACTCACCACACACAGCGCTGCCATAGAATTCCCAATAAAGCCCTGGGTCGTCATCTGAGCGGCCCTGAAGGTCGGCAAAATAATCTACGGACAGAGGAGAGGAGCGAAGCCTGTTATTCAAGAGCCAAAGCCCTGGGGACAGGCAACGAGGCAAATACAATTGCCCTTGGAGAATACAGCAGAAAAATGGATAAAGAGCGCAGGAAAAAAAAGAGGAGAGAAGGAGGAGGAGGGTGAGGGGGAGTGTCAAGAGAGAAAAGAGAAACAAACAGAGCAAATGTTTTTGGGGGGAGGAGGGGAGGACGGGAGGGCTGATGGTCAGGGGCCAGCGGCTCTACCACGGGGGAGGAGAGTGGCTGTCTCCGCTGGGTTAGAGCTGGCTCAGTGCAGAGCAGGCCTGCAGACTGCTGCCAGGAATCAAACAAGAACCACACACAGTCGCCGAGTGCGCACACACACACAGAGCGATGGAAACAAACAGGCAGAGGGAGCTGGATAAGCACACCCAGCGAGAGCAAAGTGTGTATTCAGCACATGCGCGCGCACGCACACACTTGCAGAGTGAGAGCTGGGCTTTGTGCCAGTGCTGAGGCGTGGGGCGTCTGGCGTGTGTTTGGAGGGATTAACGGCCTCCAGATGAGTGGGACCAGGTGGAGGGAGGGCAGCAATCGCTTGCACTCGCTCATTTTCTCCGGTGCTCGATCTCCCTGCCGACATCGATCCATCCACCCGCGTTCTCTTCAACATTCAGCACCAGCTTTCGCAGGCGTCTACCTACTCACATAAACCTCCTCCTGCCACCTGTTTTATTTTCGCCTCTGTTCCGCGATCGTCTCTCCTGCTCGCTACGAGCCCCCGAGTGTCTCTCAGGCAATAGCTTTTAACTAGTTCAGGTAATGCCAAGCAGCTGGCTACAGGGGAAACGTGAGCCTGTTTGTGTGTGTGTGTGTGTGTGCTTTCATTTCCTCCTCCTACTCCTGTGCACAGATTCGTGTTGACTCAACCCGAGTACAAACATCAAGCCCTCACAACACACACGTCAGACTGTAGCGTGGCAGCCTTGTGAAAAGACAGGCGCTCACATGCACACGTACAAAAGCAGAGTCTCTAGCCAGAGCAAAGCCCATTTCCGCACGTACGCTGAGCAAACACAGTTGCCGTTGCTAAGTAACCAGATAGAGGAGCTCAGAGGCAGCAGCACGCACCCTGGCGGGCTCAGACTCCCTGTCTAACAGGTGGTCGAGGGAGGAAGGGAGGGGGAGAGGAGGGGTAGGGAGGTCGCTGGAGGGGAGACGGGGATGACAGCGACGGACGTGTCGAGCTGTAGTTGGGAGGATTTGCGGAGGGGGCCTCACACCAACAGGTTGCACAGAGGTCAGAGCGCTGAAAGAACAGCAAACAGCGAACAAGCCAAGATGGGAGCTTTCGGGAACCGGGCTCGTGACCGATCTCTTTAACAGTTTACCCTTGCCTCACCTTTTGATGGCCACACTCCGGTGTGCCTTCTGGTTTTTGTTTTTTTGTGTGTGCGTGTGTGTTTTTTGAAAAAGAAATCCTTGCTTCGCGTTGGCTTTTATTTCCCTTTTCTAGCATTGCTGAGTTTTATGATCTGTGGTCAAAGGCACATTAATATTCAAATTTTGTGGCTTTTGCATTTCATTTTGTCTGCATGAGAGAAGAAACATTCTACCAACTTTAGCTCTTACTACACTGCGATTTTAATAAGGATCTTAAATTAGATATTAAGTAACCTTTTTTTTGTTAAGATCCGTTTTGTCTTTCTTCATATTGCAGATAATTCCTACATATGATGGCCTAACTCAGAAGGCTTTGTTTGCAAGCCATCTATCACACGTGCCAAAATGAGACTCAAATGTAAGAATCTGAAGTCAAGGACTCAGTTTAATGTCAATTTCTTTCTTTCATATGTAAGAAAATCACATTTACCAGTGAGGAAGCGCTCCATGCTGTCGCTGTGGGTCATCTTGAGAAGGCCACGGCCAGAATACGTTGCCAAGGTGGGGTCGGCGCCATAAGACAGCAGGACTCTCACCACGTCCAGGTGGTCGTTCTCCACGGCATCGTGAATCGGTCTACACACACAGGGAAGTAAGTTCGTTGATTAACTATTGGAGTGGTTTTCCAGGATGAGATTAGGGGGGAAATTGCATTTTGTATCATATCTTTACAAATACATATCAAATTAAAATTATAAGAGGGAAATGTCTTCTTTACCTTCTTCAGAAAATATTTTAAACTCGGATCTACATATCCTTCAAAATCTATGGATAAAATTTATACATGGTGTGGAGGATATTTTTGGGAATTCACTTCTGATCAAACTTACAAGAACGATCTATATTTTCCTTATTTAGATTTTCCCTAAACTCAGACGTAGCGAGACATAAAGTAAAATGAAATTCAGATTTATAAGACTACTGTTGTTCTTACTGCAGATGCTACAAATCTCAAAAGCAAAACTGCATGGGCAATACTCCTGTAAGACCTGAGCACAGTTTCTTAGAACAGACCCCCCAGTGTAAATTTTAATAACACTGCAATGAAAGTACTAGCCTTCCCTTTCCAAAAGTGCAGCTAATCAGCCAAATCACTGCTCTTGTACAATAATGTAAAATAAATCCCAGAAATTTTAGTTATGAGAAAGCTCGCGTCACTTTATTGATGGCCAAGCCCTGGTTTTCTTTATTCGGGAATTCATGTAAAACCAAAAAAAGAAAATCCCTACATTTCTGCATTTTCCTAAGAGGGGTGTTTATGTAACCGTTGGTGTTTGTGATCGAGTGTGCACGTGCATGAAAGAGTTCGTTTACCTGGTGCCGTCCTGAGCGCTGCAGTTGATGTCAGCCCCGTAATCCAGAAGGTGTTGGACTATGGTGAGCCAGCCGCGGGCGCATGCCTCGTGGAGCGCGCAGTAACCGGCGTAATCTCTGTGATTCACCTCACACACTCTGTTCTCCAGACAGTACAGCACAACCTCCTAAAAAAATTTTTAAAAAAAAGAGCCAACAAAGAGAGCAGGGCTTAGTGTGTGAGCATCTGCGAAGCAAACACTGCGAGAGCAGCCACACAAGTCAGATGCATGCGCAAACAGTCCTTCCCTTTACGGTTCCTGAGGGAGAAAAATGAAGGAAAGGAGGAACTGAGTGTGTTTCCTGTGCTGGACAAACATACACGCTCGCACACAAATGCTCCATAATACTGGAGCTGGCGCCAAACACATCGAGGAGACCAAGTGTGACTCAACTGTATTTAGCCTGCCAGATTCTCCTCATGCACGTGTGTGTGTGTGTGTGTGTGTGTGTGTGTGTGTGTGTGTGTGTGTGTGGGGCATGGTTGGGCCTGGACGCTGCTGTGGCAGCCAGTTACAATGGCTGGGCTCTGAACACAGCATAATGGAAGCGGAACAAAGAGATTTGATAGCGCCGCTCAAGAGCTGGAAGCGTTTTCTCTGGTCTAGGGCTGTGACAGTTGGAGGTCCAGCACTAAGTAGTCAGACTGGTTTTTATTGGACTGGAGCAGCGTCTGCTGCCATTAAACAGAGACGAGCCAGAGAGACAGAAAGCAGCCTAAAAGTGTGTCGATACAGGGCCCGTTCGAGTCAGACAAGTGTGCTTTTTTTTTGTTAGTTTGTGCCCTGTTGGATAGGCAACTTAGTGTGGCACTGGCTATTACTAGTATTTGTAAACCCAAATAGATATATCCAGACGTTAAAATAGCTTTGAAATCCAATATGTCCTTAAATTCGCATTAAAAGAATAGTTTTGTGACCACGAGTGGCCCGTCTCCACGACACCAGTAAATTGTCCTTTCACTTTTGAGCCTGTGAAAATGGAAATGTCACGTAGAAATATAGAAAAAAAAAATAGCTTGAACTCATTAACATTAACACAATATTTGTCTTAAAACCCCTTGAATTAAAGCTGCATACATTTACATCTTTATTGCTATATTTCATATCAATTGTAGTGGTATATAGAAGCAAAATTATATATATAGATTTTTTAAACTTATGGATCCAACTGTAACCACACACACACACACACACACACACACACACACACACACAACCACACACACACACACACACACACACACACACACGACTCTTATATCCAGACACATTCATACCCTGTCCTGCTGACAGTCCTGTGCCGAGGGGAGCAGAGCTGCTCATCTGAACCTGGGAAATGACTCCAAACTTCCATTTCTATGCTAATTCTAGGCTGCCATCTAGTCCAAGTGTTTATCTCTCTCTCACTCGCGCTTTCAGAACAGGGTGGCTGGAGGGAGGAAGAGGGAAGGAAAGGCAAGCGGAGAGAGAAAACAGACTGACAGAGGGACGAGCAGAGGGTTAGAGAGGACGCGGAACGGGACAGACGAGAGGCAACACCCCGACAGATGACAGATAAATGAATCTGTGGATGAAATCTGCCGGGGCAGTCCTCTGGGCTGCAGCTGATAATAACAAGAGATGAAGGGGTGGTGGGTGGCGGTGTGAAAACGGGGAGGGGTGAAAAGAGTGATAGAGCGAGCGATCGGACGAGCCAGAGAGGCGGGAGAGATAATGGAGAAAGAGAAGGAAGAGGGAAAGCAGGCAAGGAAGAAGTGCAAAATAAAAAGAGGGAGAGAGAGAAATGAGGGAAGGTGGAGAGACGCTCCAACTGGTTTTCTTTCACTGCCAACGCTCTGTTTGCCTGCTGGAGAGAGATTCAGGAGCACTGTGCTCAAGCTCCCCTCTGGGGGATTCCACTTGCTGTGTGTGTGTGTGTGTGTGTGTGTGTGTGTGTGTGTGTGTGTGTGTGTGTGTGTGTGTGTGTGCGCGCGCGCGTGAGTGAATGAGAGCAAGTGTTAGAGAGACTGACGGGTAGAGAGTGTTGATATGCAGCTTTCCTCGGTCTGTGTCTGTGCGCTTGTGTGCCTTTTTGTGTGTGGCTGTGGAGGAGGCGTAGCGCTAAACCTCCGGAGCCGTGTTTAATATCGCTGGGAGAGAGCGAGGAGCTTAGCATGAGAGCCCCGGCTTCCCGCCAGACAGACACACACACGCACTCCTCCGCAGTAAAATGAGACACCCCTCCCCTCCTCCTCCTCTCGCTCTTTCGCTCCGTCCTCTAATCTCCCTCTCTAGAATGCTTCCCTGCGCTCGCCTGCAATCAATGCATCACTCAGACATTTAACCCCTCGCGGCTCGCAGAGTCCTCGCATACAGCACATGTGGTCATGTCGAGATGAATCACGTGCGCAGATGCACGAGTGGCTTTCCTTTGAATGATGAAGTCTAGGCAGCAAAGTTTGTGCGTGCTCAGAAAAGTGAAATGTGCGGATGATTGAGTGCATGTGTAAAGTGTGCGTGAAAGCCCGGCCCTCCTAGAATGGCACCGCTGGAGGGAGACGGGAAGCCTCAGTATGCAACTACTCATGATGTCAGTCAGACTTAATCTCACACTCAGCCACACATATGCCATTTAAGCCAACTTAAAAAGAAGAATGAAAAACAGGAGGATGTCCCATTCTCATCGGTAACCTGCACATTAAAGCTTCTCCACAGGTGTCTTTTAAATGGGTACGTCCACACTAATCCAGTTTCATTTTAAAACTTATGCTTTCACATCCGCTGTCCAAAATCTTCGGCCGGTTTAGGAGCCCCGAAAATAAACCTATGGAAGCTCTGCTGACCCAACCTTTGTGAAAATAATGAGATATTGTTTTAATCTGGACAAACAATGATAACGCAACACCCGCGTTCACTGATCAAACCATAACAGCTAAGCTTGCGTACTTTTCTTTTGAGGTCGTCCTTCTTGTGCCAATGCCAGTGGCTTTTACTAACGATGAAAAATGGTCCTGCCACTGTCCTTACATTTTCTCTGTAACACCGCAAAGTCTGTTTTGGTTTTCTCGTTGCCGCTTCTACCTTCCACCTCGTTGGTAGTCCAGGTGGAAAAAACGAAACCTTGTCTTGAATTTCGTCAATCCTGTTGTGCCGTTGCCTGCTGCACATGCATACCCTGTGGTATGCGAATGGTCTTGTAATAACCGTTTACAGTTGTGTTATTGTTTACCATATTCTGTATATTAGACATAGACGGCCCACAATTTTTTGCTAATAACCAGCAGGGGGCGACTCGTCTCGTTTCAGTCGAGTTGTACTGAATCCTCAGACCCTCATGCTAACCGTCTGATGATGAAATTTACGTCAAGTCCCAAGCAGACTCGGAAATATAACCCCTGCTTTATGCTTCTTTGAAGTCCACCACTTTGTGAGCATGCGTAGCTGCTGCACTGTAATGTAAATTCTCCTTGCAGTCACCAAAAGCAGGTAGACGCAGACGTCCCCACGGAACTTCACACTCACCGTCTGATGATGAAATTTACATTACTTGGACCCAAGCAGGCTTGTGGATACGGGAAGCATAATCCTTTGTCACTCAGAGATTAGTAGCTATTGGTATTTCGTTGGATCAGAAGATGACAGAGTGCAAATGTAAGTTTGCAAAAAACGTTGATGTTACGTCCGAAGCTAGTTAGCAATCTTTTGCTAACTAGCTCTAGTTAGCAAGCGATACTGCTACTACCCAACAACATGATGGTGCGAACCCGCCAAAGCAGTTGTCATAGCTAGCTGGCCTGCGACGAGTAAGCTAACGACCCTAACGACCTCAGCTTAAAATTGTTTAGTTAAAGAGATGTGCAGTATTAGTCTGTTTAATGAAATGCAATACAGTTAGTGTGATAACGTGTTAAATTTTGGACTTTTTGGTCTGTAGTTCCATCAAAGGTCAGCACTGTCGGGACTGCTTGCCATCGGTCAAAGCTGAACTTTAAGTCACTGTGGATGTACTTTACCACAAAAACCACTGATCACAGTGATTTCATTTTCCAAGTTTTTCCATCACGCTTTCTGGTCCAACTACGCACTTAAAATGCAATCCAGTTTTTTCCTCTTTGCTTGGATCATACATGGATTTGAGGAGAAAAATCAGAAGCGATTCATGGGGAGAATAAATGACAGATTGCACCTTTATCTGAGCTTTCAATGGGCAGAGAGCTGAGGGGCCCCGAGCCCCAGCACTAGAGGGATGAAGACATCCGCAGAATCTCTGCTCATTACCATTTCAAATGCTCAGAGAGCGAGGGAGAGCGAGAGAATAAAAGGGGAGTGAGGGAGGAAGGAAGAGAGAGAGAGAAAGAGAGAGAGAGTGGGCTTTCATGTGCAGAGGCACGGATTGCAAAACTAAATGAACGTGAAATATGCACAGTGCCGGCCCGGGCAGCGAGAACAGCACGGAGAAGTGCATGTGTGCTAAAATCGCATGCATGAGGTGATTCTGCATCCTGCATGTGCCGATTTACACACAAACACACACACAAAAAAGGTGCAGCGGTGTATTTAATGGCTTGTGCGTGCATGAGGAGACACTGAATTTGCATGTGCAGGTCTATGTGGGTGTGCGATAGCGAACGCCGAGAGTCGCCTTGTCTGTGTGGCATATGGAGAAGAAACATGTCAGGATGCCTGTGCATGTGCTTACTGGGTCAGAACGTGCGTGTGTGCGTGAGCGCACGTATTCCGTCGCATGCTCATAATCGGCATGTGAGCTGTGTTCGTGTGCGTGCCTCCGTCTCACAGGCCCTCATATCTCTCTGCCTGCATGTGATAAGCCCAGAGCTCGCGGCGCTTAAACACCAGCGTGAGACAAGCGCTGTACGCATCTACAGGCTTGTATGCAAGTGTGTGTGTGTGTGTGTGTGTGTGTTAGGCCTTATGCATAGTTGGTGTGTGTGTTCCTGAGCACGTCCTTGTGTGTGCATGTGTGGGAGCCCCAGGGGCCTGCCCCAGGCTTATCGCACACAGGCAGTGAGAGACGAGCTTCCTGAGAGAGAGAGAGAGAGAGAGAGAGAGAGAGAGAGAGAAAGAAAGGGTGGGAGAGAGGGGGTTGTTTGCGCAGCGGTCAGCGCCTTGTTTGTGTAGTCTCAGGTTTTCTCCTCCCTCCTCCTTCATTCCCTCTCCACATGCAGAGCGCAGGAAGGGAAAAATGCGAAGGGGGAATGAAAAAAAAAAAAGAAGGAGAGGGAGGGAAAAAAAACGTTCGAGAGAGACGCATAAATCAGAGAGACGAGCCAGCTTCTCTCCAGCACGGCTGACTGAACCCTGCTGCTGCGCTGCACCCTGTTCGTGCGCGTGTATCTGTGTGTGTGAGAGTGTGTGTGTGTGAGTGAGAGAGAGCGAGCGAGCCAGAGAGAAAAACAGCCGCCGCCACTGCTAACCACAGTCACCACGGCACATTAGAGGGCCATTAGAACGCGATTATACTCCCAGTGCTTACCTCTCATTCACACTCTCGCTCTCTCCCATTCAGACTCACACACATAATCACTGACACACACACACACGCGCGCGCACGTACCTCATCATCATAAACGTGTCCAAACACACACACAACCATAAAGCAACTCATGAATGAGCAACAAAAGAAACCCACACCTATTTACAGTTTCTGAGAAGATTCCTCTGCTGGTGATAAAAATTATCACGCACGCACACAGGCGGCATCAAAGGAGATACCGAAGGAGTGGACACGCATACAGGCGCCCACACACACACACACACACACACACACACACACACACTGAGAGAGCAGGAATCCGCAGCTCAAGTAGCATTAAAACTACTCAGATCAATAAATCAATTTGTAACATCTGTCAACAAGGGGGAGAAACGTTTAGGCTCGCGAAGAGAAACACGGGGGATGAGGGAGAACGAGAGAGCGGGCCATCCAACTTTAATTAAAAGCTTTCGGAGCAATGGGAGTTGCGAGAGAGCGAGAAAGAGTCGGTAAAATATACACAAGTCTCATTCTTTCTTGCGTGTGGGGAGAATGAGAGGATCTGGTTTAGGAGCAAATGATCGGCGGCAAAGAAAAAAAAATCTCCCGATGCTACGGAGAGGCAGCGAGCATCAGTCTGCGCATAATGATCCCACCGATCCCCTCATGCTGCCTGCGCGTGCTCGTTTCTGTGCGTGTGTGCGCGCCGGGGTGTGTGTCACACTTCGCCTCACGGAAAATTAATGAGATGTGAGAGCGGAGCGAGGCGAGAAGAGGGGAGGCTGTGTGTGTGTGTGTGTGTGCGCACACTTGTGGGGAAGAGGAGGGGTGCCAACGACAATCTGAGTCACAAAGAGAGGAAGAGAAAGAGAGCGCTGAGAGGAAAGGGGGGGAGGGAGAGAGCGGAAACCTGAGAGAGAGAAAGAGTAGAGCGGGCGAGCCGAAAAGATGGAGCATGTGAAGTAGAAATCGCGAGTGAGGGCGAAATAGGAGGAAATCATACAAGAAGGAAGAAGAGGAAGAATAGGACAGATGAAAGAAGAATCTCAAAAACTCTGAGAAGGAAAAAAAAAAAAAGAGTAAAGCGACGTCTGGCAGAGTCACAGACAGGAACAAAGTAGGTGGAGAAAATGAGCTCAATTTAAGAAGGGAGAGAGAAAGCGAGAGATTTGGAAAAGACAAAGTCTGAGGGTGTAAATTGCGAAGAGAGAAAGCAGATAAGAAGGGAGGATGACTTCGACTGAAGCCTATTACCTCGTAGCCCAGTCGCGCTGCTCTCTGAAGGAGCGTCTCCCCGGCGTTCTTGTTCACAATCAGCCGACGAGCCTCTGGCGGGATCGGACGCACCACGGAGGGCTCGGCAGGGGGGGTTCTGTGCAAGCCCGCCGGCTCTGGTGGAACACCGCCCGCTCTGTCATTAGCCTGGAGCTGCAGGGAGGGTGGACAGAGCGCGGTGGGGGAGCAGGGCTTGACTGGAGAGCAGGGATAATGATTAGGAGAAGCGGCTCTCTTCCTCGGAGCGCTGCACTGCTCACTCAGCTGAGGAGAGAGTGAGAGATGGGGAGAGAGCGTTACAGTCCCTGCCACGAAGCAGACGGGACATTCACAGACACACACGAGCATCCAAGGGGACAGGGATGAGACTACGCACACACGCACGGAGGGAAATTAAAATGTGCATCCATGCACAGGAAATGATATCCACTTTTTTAAATAAGTTAAAAGGAGAATCAATTAAAAAGGTGGTTTAAGTATTCGAATCAGGGCCCAAAATTCATACTGAAATTTGAAGCTCAAATCTGTTCTTAAGCCATGTGTTTAGACCCCCCCACCCCACTTATCCTCACATGACTTCCAAACTACCTCTTTAACAGCATACCTACTGTATATATACACACTCAGATTGATTTTTTATCAACAACATCTGTGTTTATATATGACTATTGTGTCTGGGAGATACGCTATGCATCGCTGAAAACACACACACACACTCACACACAAAGCTTTCACGCCGAGTGTTCACGCCCTAAAACAGTGCAGGTTGGCACGCCACTTTTCTTTAACTGCTAAACCAACAGAGCCCTCTGAACACAACACACGAGAGAGGGAGTTGCCTGCTTGAGTGTGTGCGTGTCTGACTGAGTGTGTGCGAACACTGCGAGCCCTCTCAGTGGAATTCCATGTCGAAGCAGCTGTCAGGCTGAGGAGGAGCAGGGGAGGAGAGCAGCACGGGCGGAAAACGACTCGCCTTCTTTTTTCTTTTTTTTTTTCCCCTCAATTTTTCCCCCGTGCTCTCCCCCCTCCCTCCTCCTTTTGAACTCGGCGTTTCAAACGCTCAGTCGTAGCTGCCACATTCCTCATTGTGCGAGTGCGAGAAAGTGTGCGTGTGTGTAGCTTTGTGTTCAGGAGTGAGTGTGATATATAATTGCTCCAGGGTTTTTGAATGCTTGCGAACACGCAGACACTCGCACCCCTGTCTCTCACCTAGCTACACACACACACACAAAAAGATGACACGCGTTCGACAATTAAGGCCAGAGACACAAACACATGCACGCGGGGCCCTCCGCAGGGAGCCGCTGAGGGCGCGGGGAGGTCAAAGCTCCAGCAGTCCTCTAAACATTGTAAACATACTTCCTTCCTCAGTCCCTCCTTCCCGTCCCCAGCTGCATAATCAGAGGCGCCAACAGGCATACTGAAACAGAGTCTGCCGCTGCAAACATCCAGACGCCTGCGTCTTGGTCGCACTCACCTTGTCATCCTCAGCTTTTCCCAGCTCAGTCCCGCAACGCTGGCCCGGGCTGCTGGCGGCTGCCTCTTTCCTTTTCTCCCTCTCCCGCTCCCTCTGGCTGGTGTGTTTGGTCTTGCACGGCCGCTTGCCCTTGGGTTTGTCCGTGTCACTATGGCGACGGACCTTGAGGGGAGGGGTGCCTCCCACGGACTGCTCTGGGGCCGGAGAGGGGGGGCCCCTCCTGGACTCCTTGAGGCCACGGTCACCTGAGAAGGGGTTCGGCGGGTGCGCTCTGTCCTTCAGCTGGCTGGGGGGGAGGGGAGCGACGGCAGCAGCTACTCCTGGAGAAGGAAAAGAGGAAGGCAGAGTGAGCGAGTGCGAGGATAGGAAAGTATTGCAAGGCCATCTCTCACCCTCTGTTGGTTTATTAATGAGCACACAGAGCTGTCTGGGAGCACAGCATGCCTGCTCGCCCAGGGAAAAAAAAAAATTATAAATAAAAAACACACACTCTCGCACGCAAGCTCGCATAAACACCACTATAGTGATTCCTGTGCACTTCTTCACTGCAGCAAGGACACGGCTAGGAGTAATCTCCTTAAACAAATGTGGCACTGTCTGGTTTCAGCCTCTTATAGTACATATTTACACAAAAATAAAAAAGCTGCCCTTGAAACCTCAATGTCGAAAAGCTTATTGGAAATACATTTGCTCCTAAGGATCGTTGCAAATCCGCTTTAATCTACTTCGCGATCTGGTCTAGGTCTGATTTCTGCTGCGGTACAACTTTTAGAATAACAATTTAATAACAGCAATTTGTTGCAGAGACAACAGCTTTTTACAATGCAATATCCTTAACAGGCAGATTTATGCATTTCGTGTGATTGGTGGTTTTCTGAAGGGGAAAAAAAAAGAAAAAAAACAACACACAGATAGACACAGTGGAATAACCACAGTCATTATCAACACAACCGTTGTCACAGTCATGAGAGGTGAGAGGTAATTAAATAAATATATATTATTTTAAAAAAAAGAACGAAAAAAAAAAGAATCAGTGCCCAGTAATGGTCTGTGGTTTGTACAGAAAAATACTCAAACCCTCTTCTGCTTTATTCACTTCCTTTAATCTCTCCACTGCTCTTTTATTCTCTCTTCTGCCTCGGAGACGCCATTTTGCGTTTCTCATAAGGGAAAGCCCTGGCTTTAGTAAGACCCCTCTACCTCACACACCCAACAAAGGGGAAAGAAAAAGAAAATCATTGATCACACATTAGTCACACTCCACCTGCCCACACATACCTCCACCAGCCACTTCCCCTCATTTGCTTTTTAATCGTCCTCACAGAGACCCCGCTGTAGATCAGCTGAACATGAAAGAAAAAGCCTAAATCTATGCGCACCGGGAGGGTGGTGAGAGGCATTTTATCTTGTGGTTCTCTGCGTCCCCCTTTTTTTTTTGATTCCTCAAGCCTTTACCCTGGCAAGAGGAAGAATCCCCCCCCC